TCATTAATGCAGAGATTGACATATTCTTCTAAAACTTTAAGGACCACAAGATTCGGGTTCTCCTTTACCTATATACGACTCAAGAGAAGTTTATATGTAGACATAAACATGTTTCTTTAAAAAAGCTTTCTATTTATATGAGCCAGTATTAAACATTAACAACGCCGACGTATGCCCTACATTTGACGCACTTCACAAATAGATACAATATTTATTTTAATTTTTGACTTACCCTGCCAAAGACATTCTGTTTAATATATTCATTTTGTAGGGTTACGTCAAGATCAATAGAAACGTGCAATCAGACACCGTTGTGTCGAACTTTGGTGTGTCAGCAACATACCATCCTTCCTTCTATTAATGGCTTCGAATTTGATTTACAAACTTGACGAACATTATCTCTGTATCAAATAAACATGATTTTTATTCACTTACCTTTTCACTATTAATACCAATACATGTTAGCCAATCTCAAATGTTGTGAAATAGCAGCTTTTACACTGTTTGAAAAGAGAATATTGCATCCCAAATTTCTTCACTGATCCCGTGACATTGGGGGTTATCTTATCCCTCAGCCTTATAACGGCATTCCAACCTTTTGTTTTCATTTTCCAACACTATTGTCGTGTGGATTCTTTATGAAGGTTGTTCACAGTCTCTCACACCACACTTAACACACATGACAAGCAGTATGCCTCTGATATAGGGCTTCTGTAATCTGGTTCTCATTACAGATCAGTTTGACGCACGCCGTCAGTGTAAATCCGAAAATCCGTAAATCCGAAATCCTTGATTGATGTCTTGGATCGAGAGAGAAGTTGCGTCCAACCTGGTACAGGGGATCCCCCTATTGCTCACATGTAGCTGAGAGGTCGAGATTCAGGTAGGATCAACAAACAGAGAAGTGTACTTCGGCGTCATATTAAGTTAGATACAGAAAACATGGGGAATCTAGTCTCGTGCTTCTCAGGACTTCAGTATCGGGTACGTCTTATAACTTTCTTCTATGAAGATGTTAATACACTTAAGCTAGCAGTAATATAACATGTACACAGAATTCAATCCTCAGCTTAGTGCATTGTGTATGCTTAATAGTGGGTATACAGTAACAGAGCTATTGACCAACGTGATATTGTGTGCTTTTCGTTCTAGAGAATGCACCAGTCGAACAACGAGCTGTTCGAGTATTGCATCCATCAGAACATAGGGAGAGGTGCGTTAAATTCCCATTTTAAAAAGATAATTGTGTAAGACATTGTACGTCTCAATTTGAAAAATATAATTTCCGAAATTTGGTTATATATCCCATTTGTTCAGTATTACTAAAAACTTTGTGGTCATTATTTTGACGACATATACGTATATCAGAGGATATACAAGTTTCTTTTTCTGTCATTTTGTAATGATGATTATTGATCAGTATTTGACATACGTTAATTCGATATCACATATCAATCACACAATAAACAGAACCTGTTTATATGTGGTGATTTTGGCGTTACGTCACGTAATACAGATTTGTGTGTAGGTTCAACACGTCGTGTGAACGAGAGACTGAAGACTCCTGTAACTCCACGAGATCTCGGACTTGTTGCGAGACATATCGGGATCGGCTTTGAGCATGTCGGGATTCAACTTGGGCTCAGCATTGTGGCTATCCAACAGGGCAAAGTTGCACACCCATGTTCAATGTATATGCAGGTCTTGATTATGCTCACGAAATGGAAGCAGTGGAATGGCAGTTCGGCCACCTATCTGGTCCTGGTCAAAGTACTCTGGACATGTAAAGAGAGATGCACGATCGAATGGGAGGACATTCTCAACATCCTGCAACTGCGGTCCTCCTTGTCAGTGTAATTGTAACTCGGTCGGAGAAATATTACAAGAAATGAAACTGTGTTTTTATGATTTATAAAATGACTACCGTCATACCTTTAGCTTGTTCAGAGATATTGCATATAATCAGTCATCATGTTTAGGAAATCTATATATTTATCAAATCATTGTTTCTTTGTGTTTTCTGCAAGTTTACCCCAAGAACACGTGGCGTCAGATTGTACCAATGGCGGCTCCTACCGGTTGGGCAGGACATGCGTACACTTTCACAAGACGTGGTGTCATCAGTAATCCATTCCCATAGTTTTCGCCGCTCGTTGCCTTTTACACCCAATGGAATGTGTTTCGGTGAATATCCGAGACTGGTTATTCTCTGGCGTTGACGTTTTATATTTATTGAATTTAGAATGCTACGATTTCGATTTTACATGTGAAATATCTCCCGGAAATAATGACAGTTGATAGTGATGCTTTTAATAAAGTCAGAATCGTAAAATGGAGTCTGCTTACAACAGAGATTTTTTGTGATTATGCAAAGGGTTTTGTCGCTCTTATCCATACAAACATATCTGACGAATTCAAATACCTCCACCTCACAGTGATAGCAATGATAAATTAGTCAGAAATTCACAAACTGTCTTAATTAAATTGAATAAAAAAATGATTATTCAAGTCAGTAATCATATTCGTAATTCGTAATTCGATCACAGTGCTATACAACCTTCATATTGTACATCGTTTCAAATATTCAAACCGTCCCTCTGTTTATATCACTAGAAATAGCATAAGTAAGCGTATACGTTTTCTCTCCCTTTCTCACAACCTGAACAATAGGTTACAAGTACAATTGTTGTGGTGATCAAAAGATCCAAGTTTCATGTACATGAGATAAAGAACAAATTTGCTTCATGGTATGATTTAAAACAGGAAAATACTATTTCAATTCTGGAAAATGAGTTCAACACAAAACACAACATTTAAAGCCGTTCAAAAATCAGTGCACTTCATTTCATTATGCCTTTCGTCATTATTACGTACATTTGCCACATTCAGACACAAAGTCATTTTAGCCCAGTACGAACAGCTACAGGTGATGCCTCTATTGACAATACGCCTGTAAGCGTTTTACCAACAGTATCCAGGTCTCGTCAGGATAACTTCCGTACTTTTCAAATGCTAACATAATATCTGAAAACAGAGTTGCCTCCCTTTGACCAGCTACCGTAAACGTTGTATGCATTATTCAACCTTTTCTATCCCTGGCATTGTCTACAACTGACTTTGTTGACTTGATACAAGACAGGATAATGTTTGTAACGGCGGTGGCAGTAAGGCTTGCGATAACATGTAATTGAAATGAAATCTTGATAATTTGAGAACGGCAAGGAACAATCACCATGTTTCGTCAATGTCGGGTGTGACTGGGGCTGAATCAAATTTCCTTTCTAATTAAATCTCCAGAGTGTGTGAGTGAGTGAGTTGGGTTCAACGCCGCTTTTAACAGTATTCCAGTTATATCACGGCGTGTCAGCTTAACGTAGGAGGAAAGCCCGACGTGATGCAGGTCTCAGATGTTTACCACTTCGGTGAAACCTAAGAGCACGGGTATGGTGCTGACAAACCTAGAAACATATTCTGGGCGAACCGGGATTCGAAACTAAAATCACAGGTTCCTGGCGTGCCCAAGGGACGCAACTCTGCACATCCTTCTGTTTATATCACTAGAAATAGCATAAGTAAGCGTATACGTTTTCTCTCCCTTTCTCACAACCTGAACAATAGGTTACAAGTACAATTGTTGTGGTGATCAAAAGATCCAAGTTTCATGTACATGAGATAAAGAACAAATTTGCTTCATGGTATGATTTAAAACAGGAAAATACTATTTCAATTCTGGAAAATGAGTTCAACACAAAACACAACATTTAAAGCCGTTTAAACATCAGTGCACTTCATTTCATTATACCTTTCGTCCTTATTATGTACATTTGCCACATTCAGACACAAAGTCATATTAGCCCAGTACGAACAACTACAGGTGATGCCTCTATTGACAATACGCCTGTAAGCGTTTTACCAACAGTATCCAGGTCTCGTCAGGATAACTTCCGTACTTTTCAAATGCTAACATAATATCTGAAAACAGAGTTGCCTCCCTTTGACCAGCTACCGTAAACGTTGTATGCATTATTCAACCTTTTCTATCCCTGGCATTGTCTACAACTGACTTTGTTGACTTGATACAAGACAGGATAATGTTTGTAACGGCGGTGGCAGTACGGCTTGCGATAACATGTAATTGAAATGAAATCTTGATAATTTGAGATCGGCAAGGAACAATCACCATGTTTCGTCAATGTCGGGTGTGAGTGGGGCTGAATCTAATTTCCTTTCTAATTAAATATCCAGAGTGTGTGAGTGAGTGAGTTGGGTTCAACGCCGCTTTTAACAGTATTCCAGTTATATCATGGCGTGACAGCTTAATGTGAGAGGGAAGCCCGACGTGATGCAGGTCTCAGATGTTTACCACTTCGGTGAAACCCAAGAGCACGGGTATGGTGCTGACAAACCTAGAAACATAATCTCGGCGAACCGGGATTCGAAACCAAAATCACAGGTTCCTGGCGTGCCCAAGGGACGCAACTCTGCACAGCAAAAGGCGGCGCCTTCGACGACTGGGCCACTCGTACCCCGAAAATCTTCAGACCTGACTTCACAAACAATATTCAGTATACGTTTGCCGAGCATAAATAAGGAGGCATTTTTTATTTTTTTCCCTTATTTGATTCATTCTCTGTAGAGGTGAGGCAAGGCAAAATGAGGTTTGAGGTTTAACGTTGCGTTCAAGAATATTGCACTTATATGAAGTGACGTGCATGCACGCGTGTGTGTTTATGTATGTGTGTCTGCTCATGTCGTTTTTACAGAACAAGCCACTGATACACCATGCCGAAGTTTTAACATGAATACCCCACTCCTACACAGGCGGGGTAACAAGAGCACCATATTTAAACGTTACTGAGCAGATACTCTCTCCCTTTACGCAGATGCTTTAGGATGTTCAGGCGTGGTATACATACCCTCACTATACAATTATACAGACATTCCAAAGATAATGATGCTTTAACATCGATGTGTCCTTTCTGCAAATATAACCAAGAAAATGAATACCATGTTTTATTGATATGTCCAGTATATGAGGATATAAGAATCAAATACCTGCCTAACTATTATTATACGTATCCATCACAAAGAAAATTTGTACAGTTAATGGACAGCAAAAATAGCCATATTCTTCAGACATGCAGTTTGTGTTTATAAGATATTTGACAATGGTGGTGGTCTAGCCCACTTTATTTCAGAGCAAGGTATTTACAAATGCAATGGTGTATGATGACAATTCTAGCAGGCTTGATCATCACACATGTATTGTGCTTGCAAAACATGATGCTTATTTAGGCCATGTAACCTGGATAACTTCATTCAATTGTTAGTTTGTTTTGATTTGGTTTTGCGTATTTTCTTTATTTGATTATAATTAACAAAGACACTTATTTGTCTTTTTCACAGGGAAAGTGTATATTTAGATCAGGATAGTGCATGAATATAGTTTGTGATTGATTCTGATTATGATACACGCTGCACTGGTATGGCTCAATCTGTTTGACTTCACTGCGTTTGGATAAGCACCTTTTTCTAACTGTATACATATTCAGATATATACACATAAAGGAACAATCGGACCCAATTGCCTCGAACTCCTGGGGACCAAAGAAATAGTTCGACTTCTCCGAAATATTTGAATTCGACCTGGATCTTGATTAGTTCTACCTTTTAACTTTGGGGACTATAAATTGAACTCAAAACACCCATGTCGAGCATTCAGGTAACAATAATAGAAAACGGTTCAAACTATATTGCCAAATCAGTAAATCAGCACAAAATACAAATGAATAAAGAACAACTTCTATTGTAAAACATAATTGTAGGTCTACAGTCACACAGGGGTTATACAATGGGTCAACTATGGGCAATACATACAAGGCCATTTAACTAATGCAGCACTAACAAGAGTTATCTGATGATAAAAGTATATAAATTACACCATGAATGTTAGTACAATAGTGCTTCCAACATCAATCGCTCCTTAGATACGTTTTCAGATACACAGTTTGTAATGAAAACGATGTCTTACGGGGATTCGTTCAGTGATCTATCACATAATGTCACATAAGAATATGTCAGATATCATGGAAGAATGTAATACCGGTTGGTTTTCCCCATGACTATAAAGTCTGTATTTGTTTAAGGGACACAGCTCAAAGAATTCTATTTGATCTTAGCATTTTCATGTGTGCCAAGACATCATGGAAATTAATAGGATAAATTGCTTTGAAATAAAACAATCATTATATTCCTGAATATGAGGTCACCGTGAACATACTTTAAAGTCTATATTGCATGTACAACATGTTACATGGCTTCGTATTGGGTGTGAGACTTCACAACTCTGACCCTGGAAATGGTGCAGAAACAAATCAAAGTGACAATACCGACTATGATAGAAGACACCCACGTGTTCCTGCAAGTACATATTTTACACAGCGACATGTAGCTGCAAACATTCATTGTGTACGTCAATCTGAACTCACTCCCACTAATTTCAACAAAACACTTTGCTTTAAGAAAGTTCGGAACACACTAAAATCTGCATATGTCCAGTTATAAACATTTGTAAGAAACTGTTATGTAATCTTCTAAACATTAAAGTTAGCCATGTTCCTAGAATTTGTAACGTACAATGGGTTTTTTATGGAATCGAGATGCGAACAGAAACGTCAAAACTACATTGACACAAATCACTCCCACGGGGGTACGGGTGGCCCAGTCGTCTAAGGCGCCGCGATTCGCTGTGCAGAGTTGCGTCCCTTGGGTACACCAGATACCTATGATTGTGGGTTCGAATCCAGGTTCGCTCAGATTATGTTTCTAGGTTTGTCAGCACCATACGCGTGCTCTTGGGTTTCACAAATAACTCGTTATTTTCTGCAAACCGAATTCGGACGACTGACCCCTAATGGAGGTTGTAAAACTGTATATGTATACTGTAACATTGGACACATCATAATAACAATGATAACTCCTTTCTAGACCACTTTTAGAGCTGCAGCAGCTCTATCTTTTCCCCAGACTCAGTGTAGTGAATGATGGTATTCTCAGAATTACTAGTGGTATCTGAACTAGGCAGTGTGTCACCAACTACTGGAGCATGGACATAGGTGGGAACATGACTTGAGATTCCATATATGGTTTCTGATCTTTGATTGGGTGAACGTATCTCCATGTATGCAGGATCTGTAAGGAGGTTGTTAAGATTTCCGTCTATATGATATGGTTGGGATGACTGCAAGGCGATCTCTTCCATAACACTTTGTCTGTCTGTGGAAACTGCTTGTCCCAGTTGACTCGGAACATAAACCCCTGGCAATTCTACTGATGTGTGGTTCACGGGACACGTTGATGTTGGTGGTGTGGATGTAAGCCAACCGCCATTGTTATAGCTTCCGTGTGGAACTGACGATGATTTCATAAGAAACTGGCCATCGGTTGTCACCCTGAAACAATACCACATGCACTTGACACAACATTTCAGAGAAAATAGGACTTAATCAAAATAGTGATGCTATTGTGACATATAATACAAAATCAAGATGTAAAAGCCTCCAGCGCTTTCGAATTCGTATCTAATGAAAAATACTCCAAACTAAATGGAAGCCCCACATACTCATAAACGTAAACCAACGAATCATTCAATATTATACACAGTGAAGCCTAATTAAGTTCAAATATTGGTTAACATAATTTCAGTGTTTTGGCAAAGTCCCCATTGACATATGTAGCCCATGGAGAATAAGGTTACACTTGGAACAAATAGCAATAGAGTTCATTTCATCACAATGCATTTCTACAAGGTCCCCAAAACAACATACTTAAAGTCCCAAGCAATCCCAGTTTGGGAAATATGTCTAATTTACATAATCCAATATGGCAACCATCTGTCAATAGTATTTTCCTTATTTCAGATGAGGTTCAATGTTTTGATGAAAAACAGCATGTGTTGTGTTGCAAAATAGCCATATTACGTTTCTAAAAAGATATTCACAACTATTGATCGTTTTCGACTATTGACAAATCTACAAAACATCAAGATGGCTGGCAATTTCAAGATGGCCGACACATTTCCTAAATATGAGGTTAGGCTGTGGAAGCTTTTATCTCTGAAACAGTGTGCTGGGACATATATGCATAAAACTTGTCACACTAACTGACTGGCCCAAAAATCCAAGATGACCTCCAAGACATGGACAGACATGGAATATCAATACACTGTTGGTCTCTCATCACATATTTGATTGATTGATTTGGGACTTTTAGTATGTTGTTTCGGGGGCCTTGTAGAAATGCTCTGTCCATATTCTTTTTTAGCTGAAATAGATATTTGATATATGTCTGATGGTACTGTCCTCTTCGAGGTCTCATATGGTTTCGTGAGGTTTCAAAACTGTTCTGCAAAACAGCGTATACAATATATGTGTTTGGGCTGTCAACTCAAGCATCATTTCCATATTGCTCTTACCTATCCATAATTGTACTATGGTTGCTTGTCAGGTCATGTATATTTGTTGCCTCAGTTATAATCCTTGCAATATCATCGTGATGTTGTGCCTCTGCTTTTTGTAAAGCAGTTTCTTCTTTATCGTCTTTCTCATCCACATTTGCCTTGTTCTGTAATAACACCTCCACAACCTCCCTATGTCCCCGGTAGGCTGCAAGATGTAGAGGTGTGCGGCCATCATCACGTTTATCATCCACATTTGCCTTGTTCTGCAAAAACACCTCCATAACCTCCCGATGTCCCTTCCTGGCTGCATCATGTAGAGGTGTGCTGCCATTATCACGTTTATCATGCACATTTGCCTTGTTCTGTAATAACACCTCCACAACCTCCCTATGTCCCCGGTAGGCTGCAAGATGTAGAGGTGTGCGGCCATCATCACGTTTATCATCCACATTTGCCTTGTTCTGCAAAAACACCTCCACAACCTCCCGATGTCCCTTCCTGGCTGCATCATGTAGAGGTGTGCTGCCATTATCATGTTTATCATGCACATTTGCCTTGTTCTGTAATAACACCTCCACAACTTCCCTGTGTCCCTGCCAGGCTGCATCATGTAGAGGTGTGCGGCCATCATCACGTTTACCATCCACATTTGCCTTGTTCTGTAATAACACCTCCACAACCTCCCGATGTCCCTTCCAGACTGCATCATGTAGAGGTGTGCGGTCATCATCACGTTTGTCATCCACATTTGCCTTGTTCTGTAATAACACCTCCACAACCTCCCTATGTCCCCGGTAGGCTGCAAGATGTAGAGGTGTGCGGCCATCATCACGTTTGTCATCCACATTTGCCTTGTTCTGTAATAACACCTCCACAACCTCCCTATGTCCCTGGTAGGATGCACGATGTAGAGATGTGCAGCCTTCCTTATCTTTCTCATCCACATTTGCCTTGTTCTGCAATAACACCTCCATAACCTTCCGATGTCCCTTCCTGGCTGCATCATGTAGAGGTGTGCGGCCATCATCACCTTTCTCATGCACATTTGCCTTGTTCTGTAATAACACCTCCACAACCTCCCTATGTCCCCGGTAGGCTGCAAGATATAGAGGTGTGCGGCCATCATCACGTTTATCATCCACATTTGCCTTGTTCTGTAATAACACCTCCACAACCTCCCGATGTCCCTTCCTGGCTGCATCATGTAGAGGTGTGCTGCCATCATCACCTTTCTCATGCACATTTGCCTTGTTCTGTAATAACACCTCCACAACCTCCCTCTGTCCCTGCCAGGCTGCATCATGTAGAGGTGTGCGGCCATCATCACGTTTGTCATCCACATTTGCCTTGTTCTGTAATAACACCTCCACAACCTCCCTATGTCCCCGGTAGGCTGCAAGATGTAGAGATGTGTGGCCATCATCACGTTTGTCATCCACATTTGCCTTGTTCTGTAATAACTGATCCACAACCTCCCTCTGTCCCTGCCAGGCTGCATCATGTAGAGGTGTGTGGCCATCATCACGTTTGTCATCCACATTTGCCTTGTTCTGTAATAACACCTCCACAACCTCCCGATGTCCCTTCCTGGCTGCATCATGTAGAGGTGTGCGGCCATCATCACCTTTCTCATGCACATTTGCCTTGTTCTGTAATAACACCTCCACAACCTCCCTCTGTCCCTGCCAGGCTGCATCATGTAGAGGTGTGCGGCCATCATCACGTTTGTCATCCATATTTGCCTTGTTCTGTAATAACACCTCCACAACCTCCCTCTGTCCCTGCCAGGCTGCATCATGTAGAGGTGTGCGGCCATCATCACGTTTGTCATCCACATTTGCCTTGTTCTGTAATAACACCTCCACAACCTCCCGATGTCCCTGCCAGGCTGCATCATGTAGAGGTGTGCTGCCTTCCTCATCTTTCTCATCCACATTTGCCTTGTTCTGTAATATCACCCTCACAACTTCCCTATGACCCTTGTAGGCTGCATCATGTAGAGGTGTGCTGCCATCATTACGTTTCTCATCCACATTTGCCTTGTTCTGTAATAACACCTCCACAACCTCCCTATGTCCCTGCCAGCCTGCATCATGTAGAGGTGTGCTGCCATCATCACGTTTCTCATCCACATTTGCCTTGTTCTGTAATAACACCTCCACAACCTCCCTATGTCCTTGCCAGGCTGCATCATGTAGAGGTGTGCGGCCAGCATTATCTGTCACATGACTTATTCCCTTGTTCTGTAATAACATTTTAACAACTTCTGCATTCCCATATATACATGCCAAATGAAGTCCAGTTTCACCCTTCTTGTTTGGATTACCAATTGCCACTGATTCCTGTAACAGGTAGCTTACAATGCTAACATTTCCAACTGCACATGAGTAATGTAAAGGTGTTGATCCTTCAGGACCTATGATATTGATGCTACGTTTTCCCTTCTTTATAACTATATCCATGATATCTTTGCCCTTTTGACACATGGCTGCATAATGTACATATGTATTCTTTCTTGAACTGTTCTTGTTCTTGCTCGTCTTCATCAAATGTAACAGTCTGGAAGCCACTGTAGACAACCCACCCATACAGGCAATGTCCAGAAGTGAACATTTACCAAACTTTACTCTCAGATCATCTACAACTGCCAACTGCAGTTTGATGATAAGAGGTCTTGGGAGTTTGGGTACCGGCATAGACAACGTATCCAACTTCAAGTTATTTTTGGAACAAATGTACTCGAAGTTGGCCAAACTACTCCCAAAGCAACTTCCAAACAAAGCTTTCTCTGTGTTCTTTACCTTAAACTGAACACTGTTCAATGCTTTCTTCAGCAAATTCGAGTTGTCTGTGATGCTCGCCCAAAACAGAAAGGAATATCCATATATAATGTCATTTTTTGACAATACTTTCAACAGTTCAGATCTGTCCTTGTTCAGATTTTGCAAGAGATTCTCCCAAACCATATTAACAAATGCCTCTACCTGGAATAGGGAATGCATGCACACAAAGGCAAACTTTCTGCCATGTACAGCTGCAACAAAACGCTTCGCTACAATATGCAGATCATCATGTTTCAATTCGATTTTAAAAGGCACATCTAGTTGTTCCTCTTCGGTTGGATCACCGCTAGATGTCACATAATGAAATATGAACTCGAGATCCATCCTTTCAACCAACTGTCTCACATCACTGAGCAGTATTTCTCTTAGCTTTATTGCTACTTCATGATTTCTTATTCTATATGAGCCTCCTTCGTGATGGAGACAGCATCCCGCCAATTGGGATAAAATAGGTTTCATCATATTTTCAGTGTATTCTTTTTCATTGATGTCAAAAACCTTGAGTGCCCAAATAATATATTTTTTGTAAGTTTCTCTTTCCACGCGAGTCCCTGTGTCAGACCCTGCCCATAGCATCCTCTCCTCCAGGTTATTCTCCGCCAAAGCAACCACTAACAAACACGCCATCTTCTGCTTATGCAACAGGTGTTGATCCAAACATGGATAGTCCTCTGTATCTGTGAAAACAAATAACGTTTATAAGAAAGTAGTGTACAACATTGCACATGTAGATCTAAAATATAATACCTTGCGTAACGCCTTACAATTACGTAACATAGTAATGATCTCCAGAATGCATACTTTCTTCAATGGCGATAGCACAGTCGGTTCCTTCATGTGTTTCATGTCCATCCTCTTCATGAATAGTTGGACCTCCTTGTTCTGTTGTCATTGTACAGCTATTTTCCAGTACATCTCTTGTCTCCAGTGTTACAGTTTGAATTTCGTTTGTGACATTACCCTGTCCATCAACTGCCATCATGTGATTTCCTCCACCCTGTACATCTCCCTTGTTCTTGGCATACTGTAGTATCCTCTGAAGTACATACAGCCTGTATTTCTCAACGTGACAGTTCCTCATGATGCCTGGAGACTTCTCCGCCAAAATTGCATCAGCAGCCTGAGAATATGAAAGTTAGAAATGAAAAGGTATCTTTCATACGTGGTTATTGAGACACATGTTGCCTTTCATATCAAAAACATAGCTACAAACCAACCTACCATCAGAACGAATATACCACAGCTGTGTCCATCAGACTGTTCTATCACTGGGTACTGTTTCTTCATCCATGACTTGCTCCCTTCCTTAGACGTAGATTTCAAGTGGTTTACAAAGAGCCTGAGGAATACATGTATATTACTCGATGGCGATAAAGTCTTCAACTCATGTGGACTGGTGTTAAAGTAAAGGTAGAGCAGAAGGTTAATACAGCAGTGCCTAAAATATCCGGTCCTGACATTTCTGATGTTCTCTCCTGCTTTGTCCATCATTAGGTTTAATGTTAGCAAATACAGATGTTATGGTTTAAATGAATGAGTGACATAACTGTATTTATGGCATTTAAATCATTCCCACAGTGCACCCATTTGGGGAACTGAGTAACCCTGTTAACAAGTTGTTCTATATCTTCTACCCAAAAGTAAAAGCTACAAATGTGAGTGTAGTTTTTAAATGGGTCTTATTTACATTCATGTTTGTTTTTGACAAATCAACATTTCAAATTGGATAGCTTGGTTTTAAAGGATTTGCATAATGACCAAATAGAAATACATTCTTGATATTGAAATATAATCATGTTTATCTATTATGTGCAGCCACACGCCCTGGCTTTTTTTATCTACTTCTGTCCACCTACCTCCAGTGTTGTACAACTGTGTCCTCCACATCTAAGGCGGGTTTAGAATTGACCACGCCCACTGTACCATCCTTGACATTAGCCACCAGTAGCACCCAATGTTGATTACGCGGCATGTTCACTGGCATTAAGATCCACGTATAGTTTGTCAAATTTTCCTGAAAGTTCACAACAAATGCCTTTTCGGTGTATGATCAATATATCCAAAAATATGTGCTTCACATAAGATGGATATGGTGTAGTAACAGAGATATAAGTGAATTGATATCATGAACTTGGTACTGAGAACTTCTAAAGAACTCTCTCTGACAACCAGATTTTCACTTCGTACAATGATATGTAGCAAGATGAATATGTTCATGTGCAATATCTGCTTTTGTAACTGCATATAGAAAACGAATAGCATTATGATCAATGGGGTTACTCGCTTTGACTCAATCGAAACACATTGCAGTACATAAATCAATCATGTGCACAATTGCAAGTGGCAATTACTATCACACTGAATACGCAATCATGGCATAGACGAATCATATGTTATCACAAGAAATATACAATTACTACAAAGTATCTTTCGAGTCTTGCCCATGTTCTTGGTAGGGTGGACATGCAAAGGTACACTCGGAATGACAGAATCATAGGAAATATATAAATCTCACGTCACTCACATCTTTCCCCCTTATCCTGTCTGTGTACTGTCCTGCCTCCCACAGAAGGATTGTCTCTGTAGGCAGCACCAGGCAGTGGAAGCTGACACGGGAACACCACTCTCTCTCCAGGAGATGCAGGTATGTGTCCATGATCTGGACAGGTAAGAGTTCATTTATTAGAATATTTATTATACTGTTTAATGCCCCAATGCTTTCGCTTCAAAGGGAACGCTTGTAATTTCAAATCAAAGCAGGATCCGCTGCACATCACATATCCATCATGAAGAGAATATCTCGACTGTTAGCAATGACTGACAATTGAACTGATGATGTACTAGATTTTGTGCACAATGCCCATTGCAGGTGAGTAGTGTTATCATTGCATAATCGAGATGCATGACAATGAGTTGATAATTAGCACTATTATATTAATTGATGGTTAACTAATACTGGTGTAAAAAGAAGAAACTGTCAAACGTTGCTGTATTAATCTTAAGACGGGGGCTCATGGTCCAAGGCGCCGCATTTCGCTTTGCAGATTCGCCATGGGAATCAACAAAGTGGTAAACGTCTAAGATATGCTTCACTTTGGAATTTCTTCATAATTTAATCCAACTCACCATGACACTACTGTTCAAAGAGGCGTTTAACCAAACTCACGCTCTACCTTGCCTACATCAAGGCACTTTCAATGAGTATTACGTGACTGAACCACTCACCACCCTCACGCCCTCAGTTAATACCTAATACTGACATCATTTGATGAAATCGAAAGCCTCCCATGCTCTATGAAATGATTTTCTTGGATAATTAACTACGCATGTAGTTTGTGTGATTGTGTAAATAGAGCAGATGGACTACTTACTTCATCTGTCAGCCAGTCGTTGGTTTCCAGGCGAGACAGAACATCTCCTCTGATGGTGTAGCAGCCAACTGTGTATGTACAGTTACGTGACAGGGGGACGTCCTCTTGTACATGCTGCGGGTGTGAAGGAGGATCCTTCAGTGTTTTCAAAAAGTCCTGTACTTCAGTCCTGGTATGGCATGCTCCAACAAGTACTGCTGCGATGAGGTTTATGTAAACTGACCGGTCTTGGTTCAAGCTCAGAACGTCAGTATTTACAGAACATTTAACCCAGTTCCTTGCTTTTATTGCATCTAGATTCCAGTTCTTGTCGACCTCTTCAATGAGTGACAAGCATGCGTTGTCTTTGTTGGTACAGTCCTTGTTCCAGAACCTTGATAAAGATAAAACCTGTTGCACGACCCTTATCACATCACGATTCCTTTCTACATCTTCTAGAAATGTGTACAGATAAGCGTAGGGTGTGTTAGTGACACAGGTTACAACTGTGTTGTCATTGTCAACTTGAGGCTGCAAACGGAGTTTCTTGACAGGGGAGCCTGACGTTGTACCCAAATATTCAATGTCATCATCACCTCTATGATCTCCTGTCCTGCTGCGTTTCTGATTTGTGTCATGATCATTCTTTGTTTCAGTCTCTGACACCTTTGCTTCATTCAATGTTACACCTAGAATAGTGTTTGATTTACCGTTGTCTTCCAATTCTGTCGGTGATGAATGATCTTCAGGGTCCAGGTTTGAGTTAGTGTTCTCCGTGACACCCGACTGTACAGCTCCACCAGTTGATTCTACTTTTCTACGTTTACTGTAACCTGGGGAATTAACTGTCTGTTGACCACGCTTCTTACGTTGAGGAGCAGGCTGTGCTTGTGTGTGGTCCCCGATATATTGCACTAGGACGTGTTTCAGAGGCTGGTTGTACAGATACGATGCTTCTCTGACAAAGGCCCTTGTTGTTGCCTTGTCCTCGGTGTAAGCCTTGTGGTACTGCTTCACTATGACTGGACTTGAGCTAGGCTGCTTCCGGGTTCCATCACTTCTGAAGTGATATTTGTCGTCCTTCCACACGTCTGTAAATATAATGTAACATCATGAGTCTCATGACATTGCAAGCGTTGTTGTTATCCTGACGATGAACCGTCCGTCAAGAAGCTTTGAATGTTAGTGTGTCACGTGTGGTGTAGGTATTAATTAATGAAACCTAAATGCAAAGTCGACTTTGTTTGTCATGGGCCAACGGACACACCACACTCATAGAACTGTAAGGTCATGCATATATGTTGTATTAGAGGTTGTAATGATAAATATCATGTCATCGGGCATATGGGTGTACATACCTTAAACCACATACCTTAAAACAATACAAATTCTTGTTTAGCTTATATTGATCAGTTGAACAATTGACTTCCTACATGTAAACATTGGATAAATGTTCGTTAAAGTACACGGTTATTGTAAAGGGGATAAAAAGAGAGAGAAGAACAGAAACAGAATATATTAGTAGTTGAAATAATGATATGGACGATTGAGCTGAATTGGCAGTGATTTATGTGTAGGATAAAACACGTCTGAGGGTCTTTATGAGAGTTAAGACCGGAATCGAAGGGATTAAACTGAGGGGCGCCAATATGGGCCTACAATATGTGTTGCTAGCGTAAGGGTACTTGAACAATACATTCTTGAAAACATTTAACCGCCTCTGTCGCCTAGTGATACACTCACTGGGCTGCAGATACGAAGATTACGTGTTCGATCCCCGGAAGTTTAATTTGTCATTTGATTTTACATTTCATTAAATTGTTTTGTTAAATTGCAAAGTAACTTCTCCTAGCGAGTAACATGCATATGCTACAATATAAACGCAACTTCAATTAAAATATCTCTGTGACATTATAGCATCCTTGTTAATGAAATTTAACCCATTTGGAGAACAATATGAAGATGTCACTGGAGGTTTATTATGCATGGCAGTTACTCGTTAACAATATTAGCGAACATAAAATCTATTATCACGTCATGCAGAGAAATACTGGAAACCTACATGTATATACATGTGGTTTTTGAGGACATTCATCGTGTGTGTTTAACAAACCTTTTGAATTCAAATTATATTATACATAATATAAGTTTTCCATGGACTATTAACCTTTTTCTATATATCGATCCCTGCCTCATGTTAGCATTAAGCGTGAACACAACTGACTCACCTTCTCTCATACCCGATGCTATCTTATAGAGGTACACCTGTCCTCCCTGAGGTGTGGCGGGGGCAGTCTGGATGGTCTTGCTCTCATCTGGACTCCTCAGAATGTTAACAATCTCCTCCACTTTAAGCGCTGATGTTCTCCCTGTGATGTAAGGCCTGGGTGGTTTCAGACTTTTACACGCCATTTGCAAAGTTATAAATAGGCCCGTCGATAATGTTTCAAAGAGTATCCGTGGAGGTTCATTGTGTAAGAATCTCCATCAGTCACACAGGTGGGATACGCTATGAGCACCAAGGCTCCTTCATTTGAATCTGTAGTTGACAAAAAGTATATGACCTATTCACAAATTGCCGAGTTGCATCAAAGCAGTAGTATTCACGATGCAATTTCATCCCTTCATACTTCGGTTACATATTGATTATGTATAATGACGAGGCTACGTCACTTGGTTGCTATGTTTCTGAAGGTGACCTACTTCCGTGTTTGGGAATAACTGGCAACACCTGACTGCAGTTGAGTATTGACATAACAGTTGCCAAGCTACTGAATAACATTATCTTATGTGAGCATACTTAATATGTATTACTCTTTATTGACCGCCTCCTGGTCTAGTGGGTATGAAATGTCAATCGTTTGTACGATGTTAATTAGACTAAAATTGGTTTATATTTGGTGTGCAAGCTATATACAAAGGGTGGTGAACTCTGGTATAAAGTGTGTTTTAGTCTTTGTCAGTGATGTATAAGGATAGATAAAACACATTAATGGAGCAAGATCTGCAACGTGAAGTGTAAGATGCGCCGTGACCTACAGAGACCGGGGGCAGCCTTGGAATGTACAGGCCTTGTTGGCTTATATACTGGTTGTATTGGTAAACAGTACAGGTGATCGTTGTGTTTGTGTAAGTTTTGGTCTTGTGTGTGGCGTGTGGGGTGGTGCGAAGCGAGAGTATCTGTCGGGAGAGCGGAAGTTCGGTGGTTTGATGGCCGGTCGTGTCATTACAAACAATGCTTTAACATGTTACTCATCTTGCTTTAACATTGTTAACCTTGTCTTGCGCTCGGCATTAACGGTATAACACAAAGACATGTCTTCGAAGTAAATATACTCTGTCTGAGTCATATTCATATTAAAAATCCCGCATTGTCTCTCAGTTGGCCAGCAATGTCACGTCCTGACATCTTATATTTGCGTCTATTTGACAATGCAAACAAGAGTCCTTGAATTGTGGAATTAATCCTAAGAAACTTGGTATATTGGGTTAGTTTGTTTTCAAAACAGGTTTTTCGCAGAATATAACCAATACGAATTTACAATCTTGCCGTCTAGCGTCATGATCTCACAATGGACATGACGTGAGTCAGGCAAGTATTAGTCACAGTTAGAAACCTCCTTGGATGCCATCTCTTGTTTCCGGAGGTTTCTGATAAGGTTGTTCCTTATTGCCTGGATCAACAGTGCTCAATGAAGTCCATGTAACCGTTGGGTTTTGGTACAATATTTAATATAACCTGTACCCCAAATTCCACAGGTAATTATATACTTTATAATAGTGTCTACTTCCACTGAAGGATGTCTCTATAAACATTGCAATAACCCGTTTCTTCTGGCAAGTCTTTATACATCTGTCTCCAGTACCTGTCATACCTGAAGTAAGTTCATACGATTCTTCGAACCTACAACGTGGCAAGTATTTAACATGAATACCTCTCTCAGACACTGTAAACTGACTCGGAGCCGACAAGGCTTTGTTTTATCTCCTTCATGGTGAGGCGTGAACGGGGATCGAACTACCGAACTTCCGGTTCTTTGGGCAGACAACGGAGCTGGTTTCAGAATAAGTGATAATGGGCTAGGTTTTGTTTATGGATGATGTGGGGACGTGTGAATGGTGCAGTATTCCTTTACTTGTATGGATTCGGTGCTAGGTCGATTAGGGTTTGTTCCTACTTTGATGAAATTTACTTTTGTTTAACTTTTGTGAGTGGCGGTCGGTGTGTAACTCATTAAGGGACATGTAGTCAAGGGAGATAGTGATAACATCAAACAAAGATAATGTTTTGTCTCTTGGTGACACAAGTTGGCTGATTAATAAGGTATTGCCAACATAGACGCGTGTTTAGAAAATACGTTTAATCTTTATCGACGATCTACAACTTTTGTAACATTTTTGTTACAGCTAGTATACTTGGGACAGTCTGAACAGATCAAGAGAGACAAACTATCTTCTGTGAATAGTACTTAAGCTTAGATAGTTTTATCGCCGAGTTGTAGTATTTGGGCATTGTAGTCTTTGACACTAAAGAATGCTTGATTCTGATTGCTTAAAAAATATGCTTTTTCCGACTGATAATTCTTTTAAATAAAGCCTCTTCACACAAGGAGTGTGAAAAGTATCGATCTATCGACAGCAGACGCATCGATGCATATAACAATGGCTGCGAGTAACCCATTACAATATTGCATACGTTCGATATCAGAACAACAGACATGAAGAAGTTTATATCAGAACACACACAGTTAAGTAAAACACACACCAACTACTATGCCAAGGCCACATAATCCTCAGTCGCTCTCGTGTCGATTGCCTGAAACTAACAGTAAACTTTAGTCGTTTTAATGCACAAATCGTATATCACAGAAGCAGGTACATATTACAAAACATTGCCTCGGACATACAATTCATATTATATTTGCCAAATTGTCATGCCTATTATCTTCTGCACACATCTAACAAATCAAGTAAAAGCGATTATCATTCTCATGTATATTTAATTACTATCACATAGTGATGATACCAGGTGTTAGCGAAAAGGTTCTGTCCCACTGGTTGCTCCGTCGTAATCACATGCAAAAGAAAAGCCAGTGTTAATAGGGAACTGCATCGCACGTCATTTTTGCCACTGATGCGTCAAATTTGGAAAGGTCCTCTTCACCTCCCCTTGAACTTTGAAAACCTTTGCATGTAAACCGAGAAGGATGACGGAAGAGATTAGCGTCATGACGAAACACGTGTTAATACAGTTGTGAATGTTCACTCATCTGTACACTATAGCAACAGATTTGTATTGGTGATAAAACTAGTGCGTCTGAAAATCCGACTTTATGTGTCCAATATTCAACAACATCCCCTCTTACATTTTATAACGTTCATAGGACTAAGTATTTCAAGTTCTGTTTGCACCATCAAAGGCTTCTTCAAGTCATTCCACACATTTTATGGTAGACATTCAAAGGATGTTAGCAAATATAACAACGTTGTCAAAGTTATGCGCGATGCTATTCAATGCATCTACAGGGACGTTTCACTCCTCCTAACTTAATGGGACTCATTTTAATGAATCGGATGGTCACGACTGGCAACCCGGACGACGTGGATATTGCTCATGATAATGATCACTGGTCCAGAAATGTTCATGGTACGGCCAATGTCGTGGTAGGAACATTGCACGCTTTCTTCAGTAAATTTGTGGGAGTGGCGGGTGTTACCAGTAGAGCAGGGCATGCTCACCATTTTACGAAAACCTGCTGTCATCATTGTCTTTCAGTGACCCATTCATATCATTACACTGCAGTGAGACAATCGCCATATCTTAATATCGATTTTGAAAATCCGAAAATCCGAAGATCCTTGCTGAAAGCACAAATATGTGGATACTCTTTCTTGTATGTTTTACGTTTATACACCTGACGACATTACTTGTATTTCACTTGACATTCCCAATAAGCAATACAAATTAACAGAAAAAGAAACTGTATATTTTGTCCCGTGTCCGTGCGTGCGTGCGTCAGTATGTTTCCTGTTTTCTAAGCCACATGATTGTCGCACATATGTTCCTTGTGTATCAAAAGAGATGAAGAAAATATGCTGATTGGACTGATCAACATACATATTTGGACATTGTTATCATCTTCATCCTGTGTTCAAGGTGCTATACTGCCTCCATATTGTGCAATGTGTATATGTGCCTGTATACAAACTTGCGTCCCAGTCTTACTACTTTACTCTAAGTGTACATGGATTTGTCTCATTTCCTTATCCATGTTCGAAAAACTGGAAACAGAGTCGATAGAGTTACCTCCCTTTGATCAGCTCTAACAAACGCACATTGACATTACTGACGACTGACAATGTATTGTCTACAATTTTTCTTCTATATTAGTGCACAGTGGACGCATTTGAACACCATGTCTACGACAATGGCAGATTGTGCGACGTAATGTATGTGATAAGAGAGGTTAGAAGTGAAATTGGGATAGGTTCTAACGACATCAATTCATAAACAGTGCAATGCTCAGGAGGTCAAATGGGGACCAGTATTTTTAAAGATGTATAGTGGAAAGATTTAATTTCACGTCTGATGATTGGCTGCTGGTTATTTGAAAGAAAGAGTTTTCGGTTTCACTACGTAAGTATATCAGAATATCTTAGTATGGTGTACAAATATCATTCCCATTTAATAATGATAATCATTATATACTAGTAATTCTACCATGGATTGGTAAATTACTCAAATCTGATGGGTCAATCAGAGGCTATCAAATCACACGAAACCCCCTCTGATTGAAACAGCTGGTTTGACGGCCGCATCACCACGGAGGCTACATGTAATGTTCATGAAAAAGTACTTTTTTCAGTCATTGTCAATCTACATCTACCATTACAGGTTACAAAATGCAAAGTTGCGGCTGCTACAATATACCAAGTGTACATTTAGTGCAGAAAAGACGATAGAAATCTACAAAGAGAATTATTTAAGTTTTGGAGACAACAGAGAACTTAGAATTTGGCGCTTTTCTATGTACGACTGTGACGTCATATGTTTTGCGTCACAATGAACGAAATGACTTCATAATGGTAGCATGCGGTGTAGAGCAAAAGCCTTGCAAAGCTTGCTTAGTTTTCTTTAGGCATGCCCGCCTCATATTAGCCTCCCAAGTTGCCGTCCTTATATGCTTTCAATGCCTGTCATATGTTCGAGTGAAATATGTTAAAGGTGTTAACAAACTGCTTCAGGATATATGTATTTTGTTTACAGGCTGTTGTAGCTGATTCCGTAATTTAGATTGACAACCCATTCAAAACACTGGACTGGATACATTTGCTACACCAAAAAGTACGCGTTCTATTCACTCATGGTAGAATGGAGAAAAACATACTGTTTTTACATTGAAGGGCTAGTTTACCTTAGATTTAACTTCGCAAAATTGAATTTGTAACTGAACGCGCAGTCTACCTCCTAAGTATAACAGCCGCCTCCTTGGTCTTGTGGTAGAGCGTCCACCCGGAGAGCGGAAGGTCCTGGGCTCGAACCCCCGCCGCGTCATACCAAAAGACGTTAAAAGATGGTACTTATTGTTACCCTGTCCGGCGCACGACATTAAGGGCTAAAACAAGGAC